TCCTGAACCCCCGCTTCCTGGGGCCCAGCCCCCGGGACCTTCTCTGCCGGCCTGGGAGCCGGAGCTCGGCCGCTCCTGAGGCTCTTCCTCTCCTCCTGGCGCTGTCCGCGTGGACGTGGCATTGAAATAAACGCTGTCTGCAATGAGCTGCGGTGCTGTGTTGTTTGTGCAGGCGCTGCGTTTAGGGAGAGGAAGCTGCGCCTCCCCTGCCACAGCCATCGGGGGCCGGGGGAGGGGGAGCATGTGGTGTCTCCCGTGTCCTTGGTGTTTGCGGGCGGGAAGCAGGGAGGGGAGGAGAGACCACGGCCCCTCCTCGGTGCTGGTCCCCCTGTGGCTTCAGGGATGCTGTTCGGCTTCCTGGGAACCATATGCATGGAGCTCCGACTGCGGAGCCGCGAGACGGGACTCCCTGCCTCCAGCCAGGGGCTGGCAGCGGCAACAAGGGCAGTAAGGGGGCCAGGCCGAGCGTCTCGGGGGGAGCGCAAGCCACGGGCCCGGAGCCGCGTGGGAAGCGGGGGAAGCTCACTGTTGGCGCAGAAGCTGCGTCTCATCCACAGGACACCGTGGTCGGGGGTCTGGTGGGTGAGTGGGTGAGGTCCTTCGGGAGCGAGCCGCCAGGTGGGCCTGGACACGCAGGACGTTTGTGAAAACACGTGTCAGGGACGATGGGAGGCCAGGTCGCTGGAGGAATCTGGGAGCCATGAGACCCCACACGGGTCTGAGCTCAGGGAGGTTTTCATTCCTATAATTGGATAAAATCGTGCACTTGGCGGGACTGGTCCAGGGACTGGACGAGGGTTTTTATTTTCAACGGAACTTGTTTTCTAATGGAAGCAGCTGGCCCTGTCTGACCCGCCGTCAGCTTCACGCGGTTTAGTTTGTCGTAAACGCAGAGCCGTCTGGGGTGGGTCGCCAGCAAACACTCACTGCCTGTCGCTGTGGGAGCTGTCACTTTGCAGCCTTGGGTGCAGGGAGCTGAAAAGACCTCGCTCCTCCTCCTCACAGACACGGACGTGGGGTGAAGGCATCGCAGGAGACGGGGACCCGCGTGGTGGTGCCTCAGCAGCGCGGGCTCCGGGCGGCCGAGGAGAAGGTGCTCGCAGGGGCTGAAAGGCCGGCACGGACCACGGGGAGTTCACTTTCCTCCTTCGTTGTACGTGAGCCTCGAAACTGCCCCGGAGCAGCTCCGCTGGCAGAAGAGCCACAGCCCCTGACCCAGGGCCCCGCCACGTGGCGCGGAGGGTGGGGCTGGCCATTCGAGCACCCACAGGAGACGAGCGTCTCACCTCACAGCCTGCTTCTCCCGCCCTGGCCGGTGTGGCTCAGTGGTTGGAGCGTTGGTCCTCGGACCGAAGGGTCTCAGGTTCAATTCCCGGTCAAGGGCACCTACCTTGGTTGTGGTTTTGATCCCTGGCCCCCAGTCAGGGCTTGTGTGAGAGGCAACCAAGAGTGAGAATCACAAAAAATCAAAATAAAATTCAGAGCCTGGTTCTCTCTCTCTCTCTCTCTCTCTTTCTCTGAAGAACCAAACTTTCGAAAACAAATGACTGAAATGTTACATTCTATCCTGATGCTTCCTGTTAAAGGAAGCGCTGAAGGCCCATCTACCCGTAGGTCTGGGGACCCCTAACAATGCCAGACGCGCCCTCAGACGCCTTTGCAACAGAGCTTGCCCCCGGGAGCCTCTCCAGCAGCTGCTCCAGGTCCCCAGCTTCACCTCGTCTCGAATCGGCTCCTTCCCTCACGTCACAGCCCCTTGGCTCCCAGTCGGTGAGCAGAGTTCCTGTTCACCTGGCTCAGCCAGGGCACGCGATGTCCGTGGCATTGCTCACCGTGGCTGAGGACCAGGCCAATGGGCTGCGGGTCCCCCTGCCGCATCGCTGTCACCAATAGGGCAGCGAACAGGAGTGTGAGGCCGGAGGAAAGGGCGCCCCGTGTCCATGGGAGGCAGCAGGCTCAGCACCTCCCACTCCGCACGGGAACGGTGCCCTCTGCTGTCACGTCTGTGGAGCGTCACTGACAATGAGCTGGACACAGCAGCAGCCGCAGGTCCCTCAGCCGGGGACGGAGAGAACAGGGCTGCACACACAGCGGGAGGTTGTCCAGTCTTTCTGCGGAAGGAACTCGCGCCCTGGCCGGCGTCTCAGTGTTAGAGTGTCGGGCCTCCCACGGGAGGGTCGTGGGTTCGACTCCCGCTCACGGGCATGTACCTGGGTTGCAGGTTTGATCCCCAGCCCCAGTCGGGGTGCACGTGGGAGGCAACCAGTCCATGTGTCTCTCTCACGTCGATCTCTCTCTCTCTCTCCTCTCTCTCTCTCTCTCTCTCTCTCCCCTCTCTCTCTCTCTCTCTCTCTCTCGCTCTCTCTCCTCCCCACCTCCTTTCCACTCTCAGTGGGAAAAGATACCCTCGGGAGAGGATAAAGGAAAATTACATCAAGAAGGAAATCCCGTCACTGGTGGCCCACGGGTGAGCCTGGAGGGTGTTATGTACGTGAAATGAGCCAGACACGAAGGCGAACACCGCGTGGGCACCTGAGGGGCGGCTGGCGGCTCGGACTCACGGGGACAGAGGAGCAGGGGTCGGGGCTGGGAGGCGGGGAGTCAGGTCTCCGTCCGCGTGTCGGCCGTGAAACCTGCGTAAACCCCGTGGGTCTGCGGGGGTGGCGCTGCCGTCACCAGTGTCGCGCTGTCGCTCAGCATCTGCTCAGAGGGTGACCTGAGACGTGTCGTCACCGTCCTGGTGAATATGTTGGCGTGAATATGTTCGTGACAGATTGTGGGGAAGGTTTCACGATGGACACGTATGTGCAGACGCATCAAGTCGCACACGTCAAACACGGACAGCATTAGGGCTTAAAAACAGAGAAAAGCAACGTCAGAGCAGCGAAGAATCGCACACACAAGGGCGAGCAGAGACACAGGTTTTCCTTAGGTCTAGAGGGGTCCACAGGTGCCAAGCCCTGTGCTATAGGAACATCGTGTGTATGAACAGGCGTTTATGAAACTCCCCAGAAGCTGGGTTTTAGACGAAAGGCGAAGCTCCGCCTTCCACGGGGACTTGTGAGGCTCAGGTCTCTTCCTGCAGAGGCTCCGGGCGGACACCCGCCGGGGACGAGCTTAGAACCGTCTCTCCACAGTGTCCGTGGCCCTGGCTGACCGACGCTCAAGCTGAAACATCCAGTGGAAGCCTGTATCAGCTCCTGCAAAAAGCGCTTTCCCTTCCTTTCTCCTGCTGTTAGATTCAGTTCTCAAAGCCTCTCAGGCCCCTAAGATGGGGTACGTTCCTCCTCAGACTGAGACGGAGGAGGATTGATGCACATTTCACAGGGGACTGCCTTGCCAGGGGCCTCCCTCACATGATTCACAATCAAATAGGAACACACACGGGCATGTGTCCAAACGCAGACGCCCACTCGACAGAACGAGAGAGGGAACTGGTTTAGACACGCAGAGTCTCTGTCTGTCCCACCAAAGAGGGTTCCGCGGGCGCTGAGCGTCTCTATCGTTTCCCGTAACTGAGAGGCGGCGCATGTCCAAGGTCTGAGGAGGCGGACGGGTCGGAAAGGAATTCTGTTCTCTCTGTTTCAGGAAGGGACACGTTTGATTGAAGTGTTAGAGGAAAGAACGGGAATCGTGGGTAAAAGCGATAAGACAACGTGACCGAAAGCGGATGTAAGGGAGGGAGGAAAGGGACGAACGGACACCAGTTGGTGAGGCCAGGAGTGTTCCTGACAGCCGTTGTCTGTGAGGGAGGGTGTTCTTTTTAATATATTTTTATTGATTTCAGAGAAGGGAGAGGGGGAGAGAGAGAGAAGCATCAATGATGAGAGAGAATCATGGATCAGCTGCCTCCTGCACACCCCCCACTGGGGATGGAGCCCACAACCCAAGCACGTGCCCTTGACCGGAATCGAACCAAGGGCCCTTCAGTCCGCAGGCTGACACTCTAGTCCAGGGATGGCGAACCTTTTGAGCTCGGCATGTCAGCATTTTGAAAAACCCTAACTTAACTCTGGTGCCGTGTCACATATAGAAATTTTTTTATATTTGCAACCATAGTAAAACAAAGATGTATATTTTTGATATTTATTTTATATATTTAAATGCCATTTAACAAAGAAAATCAACCAAAAAAATGAGTTCGCGTGTCACCTCGGACACGTGTGTCACAGGTTCACCATCACTGCAGTCACTAGGCCAAACCGGCCAGGGCTAGATGGGGAGCTTTTTACAGCTTTTTTGAGATGCGACTGACACATAAACATTGCACATATTTAGGTGCCCAATGTGAGAGTGTAACATGCATATATACTGTGAAATGACTCCCACACTGCAGCTCACAAGTACGTCCATTGCCTGACTTCCTTCCGGCCAGCACACTCGAGGTTTGCTCTCTTCGCCACGTTCGCGTGCACAATGCATCCTCATTCGGCGTGACCATGAGGCTCTGCAGGACGCATTCATCTCATAACTGCACACGTGTGCCTCTGCCCAGCATCTTCCCATCCCCGCAGCCTCCAGCGCCCGGTCACCCTTCCCTTCTCTGCCCCTGGGTTTGAGGTTTTATTTGTCACATTTGAGTGATATTATGAAGTATTTGTCTGTCCGTGTCTGGCTTATTCCACTCGGCATAATGTTCTCCGGGTTCATCCATGTTGTTGTAAATTATTCCGTCTTAAATGGTAGAGTCTTTATTTAAATTCAAAGAAATTCACCCAGGTGATCAGAGCCGGAGCCGCAGCCTGACTGCTGGGCGCTGTGAACGCAAGCTCATCACGGCCATATGCTCACTTGTGTTATTTTTAACAACAAACGGCAATTCACGGGAGGAAAGAAAATGGCTCGGAAACAAAAGTTTGTTAGTCCCAGTCACTGTGAGTCACGAATGTAAGTCCTC